CAGCTATTGCGGCTTGAAAAAAATATGTTACTGTTTGTTAATCATTTGTTAGTTCAATGAATTTTGGTCAAACATTTATGAGTAGTAAGCTTTATACTTAAGAAATATATAAGATATTCTTAAGACCAAAATAGTACAGTATAAAGTATTACAATGTTTTATTAGTGATCTGAATAGCTGTCAGACATACGACATAGGTATATGTTTGGTATACATATAACCAACAGCTATATTTGATATGAAAGTAATGCTACTAATAAAGAGTGGTCTAAAGAAAGGTCTTAAGTAAATATTAAAGACATTATTATCAAGTTTGCTTTGGGATTTGTATGTGACTTATTCGGAGTGGTCCTAATAACTATTGAAGAAGTTGTCATTAAGTTTTTTTGTGATTTCGTAAAATGTATTTTTGACTTAGAAACAAAATTATTCATTATAGTTTTCAAGTAAGCATATGTATGTAATACAGAATACATATTGAGGAAAATTTTTTCATCTTTATATGCATTTCTTTTCTTAAAGTTGGAGTAATATATTTGTGTTAATTTATATGTTAATTTAAATTAAAAAGAAGAAACAGCATAAACAAGGGTACTTTGAAATATTGAAGTAATGTCAAATATTTCTTATTAACATATATATTAAGTATTTCCCATTCCAGCGCTAACAGTTAAATTACACCCAAAAGTAAAAAATGAATTTCCACTTTCTGGAAGTCTTTTAAATTTAAATTTATACGTGTCCATATTTTTTTGAATTATTTTCGCCAACACATTTTTCATAATTCACATCATTGTTTTTAACTTAATCTTTTTCCCATCTAATTTTCTACTCACCGACTCATCTACTTCTGGTCAGCGAAACACTCCCAACAACACTAACTGGAGGCATTTTTCACCGACTCGTCCGACAAATGTTCGCGCACACAGACACGCTGGACTGTCAAAAATGGTAATTTATCTTAATTCAGTAATCTGCTGATGCTGGTGTTAAAGCCGCTGCTGATAAAAGCGTTGAAGTAAATTTTGTTCCACACTTCTCTACTTCTTTAGTTGTTTTTAAAAGAATCTTTTGCTTCACGCTTAAATTAGATAACAAAAGAGAAATCCATCCAATTTGGTGAACAAAAATGTAACCGAGTTTTTCACAACATTTTCACACTATTTTCATACGATTTTCTTGCCTTGTCTCAGCTAGATTCTCTGCGTATAGGAAGAGTTAGATTCCACTACAACGGAGGGTAATGTAATTGCAGTTACCAATAGATACTCGAAACATACCACATGCAGTTCAGTAAAATGCTGGCCTACTTTGGCGCAACACCGGAGTAAATTGAAATATGCAAAATGTGCGCAAAAATGCAACACTCAACCCAAGACGCAAATGTTGCATGCAACCGACGTGCACGTAAACAATTTTTCATGCTACGCTCCGGGGCAGATCATTAGAAAAAGATGCACTTATTAAGACACGTATAATGCCAAGGAATTATTGAGCAGCAGGCTTAAGTTGTGTTTGGCTTTGTTGCATGTTGCACTTAACCATAATTTCGGATGATTTAAATTGTGTTGCCGTAACACTTCGAAGATTAACGTACGTAGTTTCTTAGAAATTTTCTATAGCGCTCACTATAAACTTTAAACTGTCAGGCAACATTTGTTTAACATTTTGCTAAGCAACGCAAGGCGCTTCTTTACAAAATCAAAAACTATCACAGACATCAAAAAGTAAATAGGCACACAATGTTTACAAGTTTTTCTCATATCTGGCAACTTGCTTTGTTGCCAGGCTTTTTGTTTGTTAGAAACGAACTTAATTTTGCACTTAAAGATATTTTATCTGCCATTAGGCGTTGCCATAACGCATTTGCACTACGCTACGCTACATTACGCTCTGGTTTCTTTCAAGTTTTAATCTTAAATGAGATATTAGGTGGCAAATGGAGATGCTGCGATAGCATAATTGCCTATGATTATGTATGAAATGCTTTCCACTGAAAGGTAGTACAAGAGCTTACTTACTTCCTTGCAATTTTCCATACATGCTTATATAGAAAGCAGCACAAGTAGCTCTGTAAAATCTTATTTGCAGATGCTTTTATGTTAACGTATCTTAAGCGCTTCTATGATACCTTATGGCCTAGTCTCATATGTGGTTTCATTTTCTGCGACGTGTATTCGTAGTTCCAACAAAGGCTGTTATGTTTGTTCTTATTTCTTAGGCTACTATCTTCTACTCATCTTTTCTTTTTATTCACACTTAGCAAAAAGGAATATTGCATTTAGACTTCTTATCCGCATTTTTGTACAAATTTTATCTACTTTTAGTATTTTTATTAGCGTAAAGATGCATTAAAATGAAATGTTTTTTGCGGCTTTAAAAATTTCAACTGCAGTCTCTCACTTCGGGCGATTAATTTTAATATGCAATAAGAACTCAAAGCAGTAAAGAATTAAGGATCTTAACCACTTTGTGAAGTACATTTGATAACAAGTTTTAGTTTGAGTCTGGATAGCATTTTCATATATTAACAAAAAAAGAGTTAAGGTTTATAAGCAAAATTTAACTAACGTTGTTATTAACATCAGTTAGTAAACAATTACATATAAAAAGAATAAATAAAGTGATTATGAAAGGAAATTACCTTAGTCAGTTTTTAAAGATTTTTAATTAAAACTAAAAATAATCCCTTAGAGAGTAGACACAATATTCTGAGCAGAAAGTGACAGCTTGTAAGAACACTTGCCTTAATGGCTTTAATAGTTTTCTCTAATAATTTTAGATGCTCTTACTTTCAATAGTATGTATAAAATACAGTTTGTTTTTTAATCTTGAAAATAAGTAGCAAAGGACGTATTATAATTCCTTGTGTTAATATTATGTGTTATTATTGTATATGTTCAAATAGTATTCAAACACAAGTATATCGATTTTGTTTGTTAATAAATTAATTACTACTATATAATGAAATAAAAATAATTTATGTTATTATGTGTGTTGATTTGAAAAAGTTTTTTTTTTGGTATATTATCATTACTACAACCTATTGCGTGTTATTTAGTTAGAATCGAAGGACGAAAAAGGACCCAAGTCGTTTCGTGGTCTACTTCGGCTATTCCTTAACTTACTTCAGTGGGTTACTAGTTTAACGGTGTGCTATCCTGACGTCCCACAATATATATATATATTTATATAATAGTTAATAAGTTGATTCGAGATACAAGATATCATATGACTAGGATGAAGTTCTCTGAGACACAGTAAGGACCAATTAACCTTTTAATTTTTAACCAATTAATTTCATTTAATCATGTGAATCGCATATATGAATAAATATCTAAAAATTGACGGAATTTTTTATGTTACCTGTATCGAAGTCAAAAGAGTTAACCTGCGTTTGTTCCTGTCAGAGTAAGAAATTAGAATGGAAAGTAAGTTAATAGATGAAAAACAATTCTCTATAGATTCTTTATCTACAATAGAACCCAAGATGTATGTCTGTTGCAATATTTTAGACACAATTTATTGAACTTAGTCATGGTCATTCTACTAATATATTTAACAGAAAAAAAACTATTTTTACTCTGAAGCAAGGATTTTGCACCCATTTTCATTCGAAAATCTGGTCGTACAATGTTAATGTAAAAAAATCGAACTATTTTCAAGAAAGCAATACTTATACATTAAACAAAACACGAACACTACAAAATGTATGTAACACTCATAAAGCTATTAGTTTACACTAAATAAAAGGTACAAATTTAGTGTTCGCTAATTTCGCGTGCTATTAATTAAAGCAAAATTGTTACTCGCCAGTTTATGGATTGTTGATTTACTGCTTATATTTGTTTACGTTTTTTTTTAAATATGCACTGAATATATTCAGAGATATTTTCTATTTTATATGTAGTATATTTCAATTCAAATATTTTTGTTCATTTATACTGCATTTTGATATTTACCATGAGAATTCACAATAATGATTATTGTAGTCCTCTACCAGTCACTTCCACATATTATATGTATATATAGACTATATTTCTGCATTGATATTCCTCACAATTTTTTAGTAGTACTGTAGTTGCAATTTCTTATATTCAATGGCAAACTTTGAGGAAATAAAATTATAAGAAAAATAAATGAATCCAATAAATTCGAATTCAGTTTGTTTAGGTAATTTTTTTAAATGAATAATTTTTGAAAATTTAACTCTAAATATTTTATTTTCAAAAAATAAATGCAGAAAAAAAAATTAAATAAAATAGCGAAGCATAAAATTGATTATTTTGCTAAAATAAAAATAAAAATATGCAGAAAAATAAAAAAATATAAAAAAAACACAATATGAAATGAAAATGAACATTTACGAAACAAGTAAACAATTTTCTACTCATGACGCATATCCGGAATATTTCCACCGATTCATCATCATTTGCCATGGAACGAGCGCAGTCAGCTACGGTAGTAGCGTTCGAAGTGATTACGCAAATGTTCCGCAGCTACCGTTCCTCTTCTTGTTTTGCTGTTAACATTTGAACGTTGGTTGCTGCTGTCGACCTGCTGCAGTTGTTGATGTTGATTTAGTTGCTGATGCTTTTGCTTTTGCTACTTGTGCCACACTGATGAAGCCGATGATGTGTGCCAATTGTTACAGCTCCAGAAAAAAGCAGCACACGTGACTATACGTCATTAAGTTTCTCCACATGCGAAAGATACATCCGCATTGTTTTTTTTTTCTATTATTGCAGAGACTGCCTTGCAGCGTTGTTTGTTGATTGTTGGTATATGCGAATGTATTTATTCTACATTCTCGAACTCTCTTATTAGTAGTAAGTTTTTCTACTCTTATTTGGGTTTATATAGAATAAATTTTCATAAACAACTGTCAATTTGCATTTAATTTTGTTTATCGGCTTTGTCTTCAGTTTGTATTGCATTTTATTGTGGATTTACTTTTTCAACTTATTGACAATATTTTTCGTAATTTTTTTTTTTTACAGTACCGCTTACATCTGTGCAAGGCGTAATGGGTCGTCAAGCAATGCTACCATGTGACATAACACCAATGGAACGAGATGATGCTGTTTATATGGTACTTTGGTTTCGTGAGGGTGACGGTGAGCCCATATACAAGTAAGTGTGGTATATGGTACATAGTTTCTTATAAAATTGGATATATATATTTTTTCAGAAAAAAAAATTATTTAAAAAAGGATTTAATTTAATTAGCTTGTATTTTATTTTAAACAAACCTAAAAAAAAGTTAAAAAAATCAAAATCTAACAAAAGGATCCACACAGAAAGTCCACTTAATTTATTAAACTCAAATTTAACTAAAAATATTTTAGCCAGAAAATAATTTCTGAAAATATTATAAATAGATTTACTTAAACATGCACATATGTATAATATGTATAAAATGTATATACAGAGCAACTTTTTATCCGTAAATAATTTGCTACATGTTTTAAATTGTGAAGCTAACCACAGTTTTCCACATTCATACATATTCATGCATACATACATGGGCAGATATGAACTTTTTTCACCCTTCCTCGATGCGTTGGTATGGATATGCATACTTTTAATAGCAAAGGATACTTTTTTAACCTGCGTTAAAGTTACATTAACAAAAGCCATTAAAAGCTTTTAATCCTTGTAACTAGTTTATTGCAATTCTATGTATATACATGTGTGCGTGTGTGTGTGTCTGTATAAGAGAACTTTTATTCAAGGTTCACTTTTATTGCTAAACAGCTTAGTGTACGGTTTTTAAACAGAAGGCAGGATTAAAATATTTTATTCATGAGGTGCGCTATTGATAATGTTAACTATTTCCTTTTCATCAATTTGAAATTATTTTTAATTTAAAGGGACAGGCTTAAAAGTACTAAATTTAAGGATTTGTAAAAATTTTCCAATGTAATTAGGAAAAAAAAACTTTATCTAAATATAGGTCAGCATTAAAAACACTACACTATGAATAAAATGTGAAGTAACAAAATAAATAACTAATTTATTTTAAAAATAAATTCAAACCATTTAATTACTCATTGATATCTGTAATGCACTATTAAATAATATTGTTTCGGTTTTAAGAAATAAATATTTCTGAAATATATATTGATTAGTTTAATCATTTACTTTCATAGATACTTTGCTCAAATTTTACATTGCATACTTAAGGCAATTGTAAGTGTTCACTAAAGTCTCACTAAAAATTTAAATTAATGACATGTTCACGGTTGCCACTTATGGTACTTTAGTACCAAAATTGGTATTTTTTTTTCGTTTGGTACTCGTGTTCAAAAAGTGATAGATTTTTGACGACCCAACTTTATTGTAGATATTTCCAATTAATTTTTTTTATAAATGCAACTTTGCACTATTTTATATTTTGTTCATTTATAAAACTATGAAAAACACAGAACGAAAAAATAAAAAAGTCCAACAAAATTTTGGACCTTTTTTTACAGAAATGGTACCTTTTTAAACCAATTTTGGTACAGGAAAAAATTTTCAAGTGGCAACCGTGGACATGTTAGTGGCAATTTGAGCAGAAAGAAAGATCAACTTTTTTGTAAATTAAACGTTTATATCCATACATGACGCATGAACACAGATTTTATTAATATTAATTAATGTTTATTAATTTTGGATCCCGATCCTGATGATAGTTCTCAGGTAAACCCGAAATATAGAATATATTAAAAATAAAAAGATATTATACAAAGCCATAATTTTGAAAAAAAATATGACCTGTAGAGGCATATAAAATTTATATAAAAAAATATATTCCATATTAAACTAAATGAGAACTATAAATTCAACATTATTATTCTTCATGTGCCATTATTTGAAAGTAATAAAATTATTATCTTCGTTGATGTAAATTTTACTCCTCAAACATCATATTTATATAATTCATAGATTTATAAATAAAATTTCATACAAACATATATAGCATACGATTTTTTTTTTTTTAACTAATTCTTATCTCCAACTTCACGTATTTGATGCACATAATATGACCAAGTGCGGAAAATTAAAGTCAACAAGTAAATCATTAAAATAACTATTTGTTTTTCAAAAATATGAATTCTTTATATTTATCTAGTTGCTTAAACTAAATGAGAATTATAAATTCAATATTAACTTAATTATATATTTTTCACGTAAATTATATTTCATTAAAATCGAATTGAAAATTAGCACGAAGATCATGAGGAGTACTCAAATTAGTCAGTGAGATGGGTGAGACTCTGCAGAAACCCCCAGGTATCATAAAGTAATAGTGACCAGATGCACTAACTCCGAAATGTTGTTAACTAGTATGCCACTGTGGCAGTATATGTAGTAAGTTAATATTTCGAAAGTTTTAAGCAAAGTATTACTCAGAGTTGTTAAAAAATTATACTCCATCTGGTAAACTATATCCAAAACCTTGAGCTAGAAAGTTTTCGTATACATATACTACTATAAAGATTAGAAAAGCATCGAAAGTATAGGGCGCAAGAAATTTTAAACAGATCTCATACTTAAAATAGATGATAAATATATTTACTTAGTAATTTACAAGTAGTAGTTCACATTTTATTAATTATGTTTGGATTGTTAGTCAATATCGTATTATGTACATTTTCATAAAATTTCTTTTCCTTTTAAATATTCAATTATATATAATATGACATTATACAATTTTATATTTTAATGTATATTTTAATTTTATATTTAATATCACTCACATTTTTTAGTATTATATATAGAAAGAACTTACTGTTTTCATTAAAATAATGCTTGAGCCCACTTGAAACTTCTATATCCTTATTCCAATTCTTTAATTCTAATCCTTGTGTTTCTCCTATTTTATAGTTTCGATGTACGCGGTCGCCAATTTGGTCAAGCACGTCTCTGGTCATCACCAACTGCATTCGGTTCACGTGCATACTTCAGTGGTACATCCCATCCAGCACAATTGAAAATCGATAACGTCAGCATAAATGATGAAGGAGTATACCGCTGCCGCGTGGATTTCCGCAATTCTCCAACAAGGAATCTAAAAATTAATCTTACAGTAATCGGTAAGTAAAAAATGTTGAGCACTGAATTAACGAGACTAAATAAAATGCATGCAAAACCATAAAAATTACCGAAAATAAAAAAAAGAAAACAATAAAACGATAGCGAAGAGAAAGAGGAATAAAAAACGGAAGTAAATAAGAATGAGAGAAGTAATTGACCAATTTATGCCTCTGGGTGGTGAAAAGCAAGCGAGCGTATTTAATTTGCGTGCACTGTTCAAAGTTATTAAAGCGTATATAATAAGCCAACATATCAAAGATGACTCTGTCTGTCTGTAGTCTGGATGTCTGTTTGTTTGTCCATTCGTGCATGGATGTGGCACCTTTAACTACATTACTGACTGCCCAGAAAACACAAGTAACAATGGCAACTCCAATCCCAAAACAGTAGCAATGAAAGCAACAACAACCTCATACAAAGTCATAGTAGCTATGTTGGAAGTGGTGGAAGCGGTGGTAGCGATGGTATTGGCAACGGAGCCATTATTAAAATGAATATTGTTACTGTATTTGGTATGCAAAATGAGGATGAGCTGCGCTGTAGTCCTGCACTCATACATCCGTTTCCGCTTATTCGCTGTCGCACATATCGCTGCAATGGCAGTCATTTTATTGCCATTAGGATATTGTGGTTGAATAAAACATAAAAAAATGTTTTTAAATAAAAAATAAAAAATAAAAAATGAAATAAAAGCATGAATGCTGAATTAAAAAGAAAATATACGGCAACACCAACAACAGCAACGATTGCTGCTGCATGTAAATCGCAAAGCGTTGAATTGGCAAAGCAATTTAAAAGCTTTATTGCCTCGACCAAAGCATTGTATTAATGCGGCATGCAATTGTATTGTAGTTGGCGCGAATGCGGGTCGAACTGCCACTGCCACTACCACTACCACTGGTAGTGGTGCTAGTATTGGAGTACTAGGTCTGATAGTGCTGGTATTGGTAGTGATGTTGCCGTTTTGTTGACTGCCATTGGTGCGACATTCACTGTAGTAATAAATCCTGTCGCTTTTGCCTGGATTACCTCGAGAAGTAAGGAACCGTTACGCATCGGTTGAGTGCTTCGTTCAGCTTGGTTTGACTCCCAAGCGGAAAACCACAAATAATGTTTCGTGTATTCAACACGGCGCAATAATTTGCATTGCGGTGCGCTACTAACGCTGCCACCGCCACTGCCACCACTACCACTACCACCACTACCCTCTCAATGCGTCCGACTGCGTTGTGTAGCAGCAATTTGTAAAATTTCTTTCATGAGTACTTTTGCATTAACAAAAAGAAGAAAATTTATATACATAAGTAGTAGTAGTAAAAAAAAGGAATAAACAAACCAAAATACTTTAATTTTTATTTACGATTTACTTAACGAGTTTTGCAGCTTTTACTGCAATTATGTTTAGTTTTGAGTTTTTGAAATTTTATTTTCATTTGTTTTTGCTCACAATTTGCATGCTGCAATGCATTTTGGCTCTTACACGAGCACGCATAAATTAGTGACTTATTTGAGTTGAACTTTTCAAATTATAATTATAATTTATATGGCAGTTTACTGCTGAAATCATTGTTTAATACCTAAACACTTCCTACGCATAAAATTTTGTCCCAGCATCAAATTCGGGTCTCATAGCGTTTCTGACAAATGCATACTTTTAACGCACACTTCCGTTCCATGCATCTGCAGTTGCCATTCGCAATATGGCATCTATTTTTGCGGTTGTGGTCATGTAATTCTAACAAATTGCAATTTTGCACATTCTGTGTGCCGATTTAACAAGAGTTGAGATGGCAAACTTCATCCAGTTTTATTACTCCAACATACTATGAGCACACATTACAATCAATTATGCAATAAAATTCCATCCTCAAATTGCAGCTCATAAATTAAGTTTCGCTCATGAAATGAAATTTTGTTAGCAAACAATATTTCAATGGACATTTGTCGTTAAAAGGATATTTCAATTTTAAAACAATTGTTTTTTTTTCTTTTAATCATAAATTATGAAACATTGAATAGAAATCAAAAATCATTTATTAAAGTAATTAAGACAGACATTGAAAATTTTCTCACCACAAAGCAAGTTTATATACCACTCCACATTTAATCTTGAAATAAATTTAAATTTAAGTCAATATCCAAAGGACTTTCAATACTTCATTATGATACTCGGACGTAGTAAAGAAGCTAAGCAAAGAAAATTGAATAACGATAAGAGTCTAGCAACGAAGTATGGTATCTATGCTGGACAGTCCTATAGACCTAAAGTTTACACCATTTGAGGTATATATTTGAACTGTGTGTAATCCTTACTTATTATAGGTAAAAATGATGAGAACACAAAATTAATTTTTCATACTGAATGTACATTACTTTTATATTTAAATGAAGACAGTGAATGAATTTTTTTTATATCAAGTATCAAACTTAATGAAAATGTATCAAGGTTAGTTTAGGCTGAAACAACAGTATATTTCGAGTACTTTCTCTTTTTTTAATGTAAATAAAATGTATTCTCTGATTTTTAATAGCACTTGAGCGCTACATCGCAGCATTTTGTTATACTTAACACATATCTATATTAACAAAAAGTTATGTTTATGTGGTTAATTAGAGCTTGATATAGTTAACCTGTAATAATATGTAATACATACATTTTTTGTCGTGTAGTATTGCTGACAATAATAATTGTTTAAATTAAAAAATGATGTCAAGCATCTTTAGTTAGTTAATTGTTTGACTAACTATCTTGAGCACTTGATCTTGAGCACTTTAACTCTTTCTTAACTCGAGGTATTTTCAAAACCTCTCTTTACGCCTTGACTGGATTATTGTTTATCCTTGTAACCATTCTAAAATATATAAAACTCGTAAAAAATTTACATTAAATTAAAATAGATATAAATACCTTTTTATGTTATAGACCTTTTTAAACCCATACTTAAGAAAGTTAGTTAATAATACAGCACAAGCAGTAAAAAGTTTTACCTGCTAATAAACCCGTCTAAAGACCCAATTTGCGTATATAATGACACAGAAATTTCCCATAAAAGTCGGAAAATACAATAATTTCAAGATAGAAAGTCCGCTTAGCTGCAACCGGAAAAAATGAAGTTGGTTGCATGTTTTATTTCAGAATGAATAAAAAAAAATTTGTTACTGAATAAAAAAAAAAAATATAAAAAATGTAAGTAGAGCGTAGAAAAAGTGCAATATATTTAGAGAATAAAAAAAAAAATCTAGGACAACATGCAAAGTTCAACGTGCAACATCAAATGCCGCACGGCTATAATTTACGTTATGTTCGTTAACGCTATTTTGTACTCATGTTACGTTACGTTATGTTATTACGTATTTTATGCGCTCGTGTCCTGGTGCTTCATCAGCTGCAACTTGCGTCAACGTCAAAGCGTTCAAATTAGCGTAGAAATCAAACCAAATTGCAATTTTCCTTTAGTTTTTTATAACAAAATTTGCAACTGAGGATCTCACAAAAGTACGTGTCATTATATTGAATTAAAAATTTAAATAAATATTTAATTGACCATTTGAGATAATAAAAAGGAACAGAGGAAAATGCTTCGAGGATATAAATTTACTAAATAATTGAAAAGAAGAGCGACATTAGTTTTAATAAAACGTAACAGTATATAAAGCTATTATTTATTAAAATGGAAAAATTTATTTCATATTTTTATATTAAAATAATTTTTTTTTTATAATTAAATAAGTTTAACTCAAACGCGACCATTTTTTACAAAGGATTACAGAGAAGCTAACATTTGCGTTTACAGTAAATGCACTATTAAATGAATAGTCTCATAAGTCTCCTCTTACTGCAATATTGTTAAACCCCGGTTTTTACTTTGTGTTCAAAGTAAACTATTCCAAACGGATAGTTTCATTAAACGAATAGACTTTCTGGTAGCGTCACTATTCACTTGCACTATTTATATGTCATTACTCATATTGAATAATGTATGTACTTGGAATTTAAATTTCTATCAAATTTTTATATCAAAATAATAATTATGTAGTTTGAGCCCTACTGTAAGATACAAATTACCACTTCATGTAAATATTCTCCATATCAAATCATCAAAATATAATGTTATGGAATTGGAAAATTTCACACATAATATAACCAAAAATTTTTATAGTTTGTGGTCTAATTGAAACATATATCACATATTTTATATGATCTTGCTAAAAAAATTTAATCATATGGCTTAAATGATAAGAATTAATAGTTTGTGTCACATCATCTTCATTATTTTCAAAACACTGCAGACTTATCCAGTACAAATATCGCACTACACAGTATTATTTTGTGGATATGACAGTCTTTCACCGTTTACTTTTAATTTTTCACCAACACATACACTACAAATTAGATTATTGACAGATCCACCAAGTAAAAAATGCACCTCTTCACTGAAGAGAAGTCTAGGATTTAATACATCTGTTACAGATCCAATTCCTTCAAATATCTACACAGTCTTGCCTTCACAGTGCATTTAGATAGACGATTACATTGACCATAGTCTTCGCGTAATGCACCCAGTGGACTTACTACAAAGCACTATGTTAGTACTCGTAGTATATTATCACAATTTTGTGCTTGTTCAGCGGCTGTTAAACGATTGCAAAATGCAAACTGTGTCACTAAATTAAACATATGATGCTCTGAAAGACACTTTTGTTTGACATATACTTGGATTAACTTTTTTTTATGCTACCATAACTGTGCCAATTAAAGCTCCAGAAGTGAATAACCGTTTATGTCACATATAATTAATAAATGATATAACATTTTTAACTTTAATACATAATCCATGTGAATATATAAAAATAGTAATAAAATAAAGTAATAAGTAAATAAAAAAACATTGTTCGATTTTAGTAAATCGGTTGAAAGCTAGTTTTTTAATATTAACATACCCTTATTTTAAAGTAAAAATTATTTTACATGTATAATAGTGCATTCTATAAATTATTATTTGATGTACTCAAAAATTATCTCTTCGTGAAACCCCGTCAATTGACAGATTACTGCATCAATGTATAGTTGTTATATTATACTAGATATATTATTAAATATTCGAAATTAGCTAATATCCACATTTTCTAAAATTATTATTTTTGCATAAACAAAATCATAACTATATACATATATTACGTTTCGTAAATAGGTATGTATTTATAATTTACAGCTCATTAACAGCAGTGCAATATAATAAACGACTTAACATAAATTTAGTTAACATAACAAATTCTCTTTGGTACTATGCAAGCCCATTGCTGTTAACAGTCGTAGCGCTGCTGTATGTACAACTTGATTTGTATGATTATAAATCACAAAAATTTGTTCCATTTGTTCATTTTACAACAATCGGCATAATTATGCAAATTTATTTAATAGTTTTTTTTTGTTTTAAAAAAAATTTTAAAACTAATTAAACATCACGCTTTCGATGTGGTACTTATGTTATTTACGCCAGCCATTTCGTATGCAAAATGTAATAGAAACATGTCGTTAAAACCTCAAACAGGCACATTACTGGTTATTTCGTTTAATTAGTATTAAATACCAAAGGTTTTCTATTTTCAAGTAATATTATGCATTTTTACTTAACAATATACAATTACAAATTATTTATTATGCCATTAAATCATAATTAGAACATTTTCATTTAACAGAGACACGCGAACTGCACTTGCTGACATTTCATGTGACATATTTTCTAAATTTTTTTTTTGTTTTTGTTTTATATAATTTATTTTATTTAAACAAAACAAAAAAAAACATCAACAATTTGAAAAATATTTGTAGCATTTGAAATATTTCATTCAACAACTTTACGTGCTGTAATTGCATTGCTGATGCAAATCTGACTAATTGCTAATTGTTGCAATGCATTTTACTGAATGAAATATTTATTGAATAAAATACGTATTGAAATATATATTTAGCTACATTTTTTTTTACCTACTTTATAATAGAATCTATTATGAAAATGAATGCTTATTTGTGTGTTTTGTTTTATTACAGTGCCACCAGATCGACCGATTATCTTTGGTCCTAATCGACATGATAAAGTCAACACCGTCGAAACATTCAATGAGGGAACAAACATAATAATGGCATGCGAAGTTTCTGGCGGTAAGTGACCAATTGATATTTTTTTTTATCAATAATAGTTTTTATATAAAGTTAGTATATAAACGTGTTAGTAAGTAAATATCAGTATTTGGATTTAATGCATTATTAAATTTTATCAATAATAATAATAAGTTAAAAAAAAAATTTCATTAAGTAATCTTTAAAAATTATGATGCTATATAGTATAAAATATATAATATAAAATAATATAAATAACTACCTTAAATAAAATAATATATATCTAATATATGTATTCTATTTATCTTAAATTATTATTTTCTGTTCATATCTGTTTTTATAATATGACAACATAATATAAAATAACATAAATAACACAAAATAAATTTTAAACTAACTCTCTCTTTAATATGGAATATAATATTATAAAACATATAGTAAGGTTACTATATGTTACTTACTATATCTTTTATAATATTATATACCATATTAAAGAGAAAGTTGGTTTAAAATTTATTTTATGTTATTTTATATTATATTGCTATATTATAATATAGAAAATTATAGAAATTATGATAGAAAATAATAATTTAAAATAAATGGAATACATTTATTAGACATATATTATTTTATTTAAGCTTGTTAAAGTTAATATTGTACTCATTATCAATACCATTACTCAATAAAATTTTTTCTACTCCATCTACTTTTTTATGTACTTCTTCATATCCTTTTGATGGACATGCAACAATCATAATTCTGAACCCACATGATGGATACATGAATAAAAAATAACATAAACAACTACAATGTGAATGTATGGGAATCAAATAAACTTCGCATACAAATCCGGATATTCAACAAACATTTCTGCATCCTTAAATGAAATAAATTTTCACAAATAAAACAAACACAAAAACAAACAAAATAAAAAAAATAATAAAAAAATACTTTCGGAACTCTATAAAACAAACAACTCCTTCAACAATGATCAACTGGAATAAAAAATTGTACTTGAATTTTTTTATCATCCATTATTTGTGCTTCTTCTATCGTCCTTTCTCGTAATACGTTATTTGCTTTTGTTTCTGGCTTATTTAATATTGCTGCCACTCGAAATGTATCTGCTCTGTATCCTTACTTGAATAATGTAAATGGATTTGTATGTATTGGAATCGTCAACAGGACGTCCACGTCCAAATGTAACATGGTATTTGGATAATACGGTGATTGATGAATCATTCGAGCACTATTCGGATGGGAAAACTGTTAACCACTTGTCATATCCAAATATTGGACGACAACATTTAAATTCGAGATTAGTTTGTGTGGCAAGCAATACAAACCTGACCCCACCAAGTAACAAAGTGGTTATACTCGATGTCAATTGTAAGTATGGATTTAATGTTTTTAAATATAGAACCCATTTTTATCAAAAATACAGAGAGAATAGAGAAATAGTAATATTAGTTACGAGGGGTGAAACAGAAAGATATGAAAATAATGGAAGGAACATTTATTGACTAGGTCAGGTACAAAGAACTGAAAGTAGAAAATTATGTTCTTTGAAGTATAAAATTTAAAAAAATTATTTAAAAAAATAGTGCATTTCTTAAAATTTGAAAGGAATGTTAAAGTTTCTAAATTTTGACGTAGTTTTTTGTAAAGTAAGCATTAAGAATTTTTTTTATTTCTTTTTACTCATAATTGTAGGCAATGCATTTTGCTTTCATATTCGAACAATCTATCATCTTTTGCATAAAAGCCCAAAACCATTAAGTCATTACTAACCTTCAGCACAATAGCCACCTGATGTCAATTTTCCTTACTAACTGACACTTTACTGATGGACAAAAGCATGAATCGTTTTTAGTTAGTATCCTTTTGATTCTACTCCTTTCATTGGAGTATTGATTTGCCATGAACTCTATTTACGGCCAAAGCCATTGCAGAAAGTTTAGGACAGTTTTTAACTATTAAAATTTCCATATTTTTTCATGAAGTTCTTTTTTGCGAAAAATGCTATAAATCATTTTTTAATGACTTTCATTAAATTGCATATGAAGACGTAGAAGATTTTACGTATAAAAAGAGTCATTAAATGTCTAACATTTTCTTCCGCATATTTTTTTGGAACGGTTACTGCATTGTAGATTTTAATTGAGATTTTCTTTCACAATATCTTTTTTGTTTTTGATCTTCTTGTAGATGAATTGTTTGTAATTTTTTTTCTTTAATTTCTTTTTAAGTAAAACCCGTTGCTGTACATATAATGACAAAGGATAGATTTCTTTCCGCTGATAGAACATATGATATTGAATGCAAATCATCTGGTTCAAAGCCATCAGCTGTCATAACCTGGTGGAAAGGCAATAAGCAGTTGAAAAAATTAACCAAAAATGTAAGTTAATCTTAATTTAAAAATTATATTTACTTTATGTAGATTATATATAGTGATATTTGTTATTCTTTATATCGAAAGACTAGAAAAGACTAAAAAAGCTTTATAAATTTATACCATCACTTCCCATTAGTAGCAATTTTTTAGCTTAATTAATACATTCGTCTCATAACAACAAAAGCTATAAAAACTTAATCCATTCTGTTGAATTTAAGTACCTTAACTGGTTTTTCCTCTCTATATATAAACAGTTCACTATTTTCTTCTGAAAGCTCAAACTTTGCGGCCGCATAGTTTGATAACAGTAGTTAAATATAATTGGTCAAATAGTACACGTAAAAAGGATGTTCAGTAAAAAGAGAATTATTATTTTCCTTGGAATTATCATTTTTACTCTATATGACTATCAGTAGTAATATCAAATAAAAGCTAACCTGCCCTCACAGTTCAGAAACGAAGCGCTGGAGTTTCTGACTACATTTCGTAGTTTTTTGTAAGTAGTAACTAGATATTATTGGATGTTATCTTCGATAATATATCACATTTGTTAATACAATATATTTTTGTATTAATCATTAATATTCAGTAATAAGAAGAAATTCTTATTGACAAAAATGTTTTTTAAACATTGATTCTATCAACAGTATTATTTTTTAAACTATTTTATAAGCCTAGTACTAACACTTATTTTACATAAACTATTGACAAAACTATATAAAAAACATATTCTACATTGTTTAAATTTTTGAGACACTTTCTATATATTTCGTATAATGTCGAATTTTTTGAAACATTTATTTTGTATTTCCTATAATGTCCAAATTTTTGGAACATTTTTTTAGCATTTCCTATAATGTCCAAGTTTTTGGAACATTTTATTAACATTGAGTTGAAGTGAATGTTTTGTATGAAATGTATGTGAATACTTGGCTTTTATAAAAAATTCCATATGTATAAATATATATAATATAATATAAAATGTTTCCATCTCATTTAATCCCAAATCAAATTAAAATATGAATAAACTTCTTAATAGTCTCATTTATTGATTTTCATGTGTACTATCAAATAAACTCGAAGCTATACATATAAGAGTATGCTTTCCAAGTTAACACTTGGATTCCTCTTACTTTATAACTCCACTTATTCTATTAAACAAGTAACTTCATTTTAAACAGAATTCAACAAAAGTTAATTAATTTAATTTGAGAACATCCTTTAAATTCCAAATAAAATTTAAATTTTGACCTTTCATAATAAAATCCTCCCATAATTCTACCCTTTTTCCAACACATCTTTCACATTTCCAAAAAACAAAAAAATCGCCTTAAAGCATTTTTGAGCTTACGAAATAGTGGGCATTACTTCTTCTTCCGTCATGAACGCCTCAAATGAAGAATTTTCGAAATACTGCTGAGAAGGAGTTAAATTTATTATAGTCTTTAATGAAAAGCTCAATAAAATAAATTTATTTATTTATACTTTGAACCCCCCACGAACGCATTTCCGCGCTCCAGACAATAAAAGACCGAGTAGTAATTTAAAATTACTTTAACGATATCACATTAAGCAGACATTTTTCCACTATATTCGACATATATATCTGCCGCTGTTAATGTATATATATTGTATCTAAGCCTACTTCCTGTCTATATATATAAGAGAAATTGAATTTTTTTTGTTGTTTTTGTGTACTTTACAGTTTAACGAACCCGACAATGAATCTTTGAGTATATTAACATTCACGCCCGCCCGCGATGATGACGGTAAATTTTTGACATGCCGCGCACAAAATCAATTCATCGAGGGCAGTGCAAAGGAGGACAAATGGCGGCTTGTGGTGCACTGTGAGTATAAGAAAATTAATATAATTTTAAATTATTGACATTATTTAATGTATTAGAACAAGTAACAACAACAACAACAAGACCTCAATAATACAACAAAGAGCATAAAAAATTATTGGTTAGGAAAAATTAGACTAATCCATGGGCACAAATTAAATTCCATCTCCTGTTCATTTTTTTCTGTTGCTTGCTGTCAGCATTTTGTGGGTGTGCTGCGTTGGTTGGCGTTGGTAGCTGAGTCCTGCACAGCCTGTTCCAATGTCCTTTGACCATAAATGTGCAATTTAATTCAATTGCGAGGCTGTGTAAATGCTTAAATGACATTTTCTATGTTTTTGCTGCTGTGATTAGAAATGGAATTGGCCAAGTTTGTGTATTGTAATAAAAATAAATTACACTTTTGCATTTGGTCGATGTTGTCCTTTTGGCATTTGTGTATTGTTGTATTGTAATATGTGTAGCTGAGGGGTTGTATATATGTATGTATACATGCGTAAAGTGGTATGAATGTGAGTTAGAGTGCGAGTGCGAGTGCGAGTGGGTGTATAAGTTGACACTTTAATGGGGTTGATCAGAGCAGATTTTTATTGTGCGTGTTGTAGTGTCACCGGGCATTTCTGCGTCATTTTATGGCCTATTATAGCAAGTTGCTTGATGTCCTCTGTTGACAATTTATTTTAATATTACCTCAGTTGAGCTAAATCTAATTTAGTATGCAGGATAATTCATATGATGGTTTTTTTTTGTTTTGATTACTTACTTTACCGAATACAAATAATATTGCCTTGTTTTATATTTCTAAATGCCGACAGAATCCTTTACCTCCTTTAAGTTGTTAATAAATATATTTACCTTAAAGAGTTATATTTGCGAGGGGTGTTCTTACGACTGCTAATTATTCAAATTTCTGTGTCAAAACAGGAATAAATATAACTTTGAATCAATTTAAAAGATATTAACTCTTTTTTCAAATTATATAAAAGAAATTATTATCGGTTAAATGAAGTTTTAAAACTTAAAATATTATGGGTATTAAAAATTAAATAGAGATTTAATGACCTCTTATTATTTTTTGAGTAGCTTCATAGTTCCATCGATTTAGAACTTCTGTGGTTTGGCGGCAAAAAATTTAGTCAGCGAATTTTTTAACGGCTCTTCAGTCGGTCGATTTGTTACGATTTAGAAAATTTTGCAGAAACCAAAACCATTGGTAGTCAAACGGTACAAGTTGTATGCTATACAATAAATTCAATAAGTTTTTTTAATGGAAATTTTCAGAACGGAATCGATTACACCATCCCTTAGTCCGGCGTTCATTCAAACCATCTTTAGCATAAATCACACTTATTTATAGAAACGTTTTTGCAATAATTTAACACGTAATTTAATTTTTCAAATAATTTCATCAGTTTCAAATCAATATAACTTTTTATACGTATATGTCTAACGTATTACACAATTGGCTTTACAAGAATGTATCCTGAAATGTTTACTTTCAAGAACATGTTTATGTATTGTTAAATTATGTATTGTATTGTATGTTTTTAATATTTTCCAAATATATAATTATATATAAATGTTTCATGCACATAATTTAATATTTACTAACATCTATACTTTTTGCAGATCAACCAACAGCTCATCTCAAAATGGGTTCTTCATTGAATCCTGATGATATAAAGGAAGGTGATGATGTTTACTTTGAATGCATAATACAATCAAATCCCAAACCATATAAAATGTCTTGGTTTCATAATGTAAGTATAATATACTACACAATTTTGAAAATATAACATTAGTCTATATTTAGTATATAACAAGAACAAATAAAAACGTCAAATAAATAAAGCATTTAAAAAGGTCGATTAACTTAAGACCACAAGTATTATTACGATCTTTGGCATCATCGATAAGTTCAGATAGATCCAAGTTTTCATCTTCATACTATCATGTTTGTTTTAAACATTTACAGACTGTGAACCACATAAACTTTTGAAGTGATTCGGTTCAGTGTTTCAATGCTCTAAACCATTACTTTGTTTTCAAAACTGATTTATCTAGCCTTCGTTTTCAGCACAGAACTTTAGCATCAAATAATTTGGTTAATTTTTCGTTTCAATTATACCAAAAATTTATAGAATCTGGTTCAAAAATTGATCAGGTTCTATTCAGAGCACAGCACTGACCAATATCAGTTCGAAATTTAAAATTAAAAGGAAAACTCATTGGCCACTGCTTTCTCTTACTGCAAAGAACCATATTAAATTACTTACCCTCTTATATTACTAAAAGTCGTCGATGCGGATATCGATTTAAGGGTTTCTCTTGTATACAAAAAGTGCCATATGAAGTGATCGTCATACTTTGGCATTCGTATCTTTATCAAGTATCATTATATGTAGTTTCTTATTAAAATACAAATTTTTTAAATATTAAGGTTCAAATCTAAATAAAAGAAGGTGTTTTTGTTGGTCTTTTTATTTTTAAACTGTCATCTACTATAATACCTAAGTTAGTTCAGCATTTTTTTCTTAAAAAAATACATTGGCAAATATGTTTCTACTCAAAGCTCGCAGATGAGTTAAGAACTTTTAATTTAAAACAATATGCTCTATTCTTAATCCTAATCTGGAATTAAAAATCACCAACAAACTTGAAAATTCTTATTTGTTAGAATTCGCTTACATTTTTTGTTTAAAAATTTATTTGACCGACCGACTGTCGTTGCATCTTCTATGCACCGTGCTTTTCTGCACATTAAGTCCACAGCTGTCCATCCATTTGCTCCTTTTGCTCACTCAGTCAGTGGCAACGAAGCTGTCGTAATATTTTTAGCTTGCATTATGACCAGAGCAATAGTGGCAGGATTCCAGAGCAGCGCATATTGCTATTTTATATGCTGTAAGCCGCACAACGTACAAATCTGTCAGTCAGTGTCTTCCAGAGTGATGTGGTAATCCGTTATTTAACTCCTTTATCTTTACTGTAATTTTCTCTCTTGTTATACTTTTAATAGATTATTCTTTCTATTTTTCACCCATTTTTCTTTTATTTCTTTAATATTTTATTATATTTTTATTTTATGCTTACTTATACCAAAGAGAAAACAAAAAAATCTTTCAGTGCATTTCTGTTGAAATTGTAATTTAAAAAAAAAATAGTGTTTTCTAATAACTGTTTATGTATCTGTTTGTTCACTTACACATATGCATTATTCATTAGAGCACAACAAACTCAGAGATATACGCTCAAGGATAACAAGAAAATATGCGCACATACAGTTTAGCAAATGTAATTTTCCACTTATCCAAACTGTTATCCTTAAATGAAAATATTTTCGTAGTTACTTGCTACAGCAGAAAATAAAAAGTGGAAAATATGTGTTGCAATAACAAACCATGTAATTGTTTGAAAAAAGGACATTCTTTATATTATAAATATTATTTCACATTTTTTGCTGAAACCGACTTTTTCTATTTCCATTTTTTTCTTATTTTTATTCCATGTCTTCTCTTCAAACAAATGCTGCTGTACTGCTGTCAACGTGGCCATCATCAACGCCATTATCAACACCGTCAACATTTTCTGTGCTTTTAATGTAACGCTTTTGTTATTACATTTTTATATCCTGTTTCGTCCTGCTTCGTCCTGCCTGTCGCACTCGCCATGTTATTGTGTTTAAAATGCGATAAACGATTTTTATGCTCTCACCTTTCACAACAAATACCGCAACAAAAACAACAATTAAAACATTGAACACGACTTACGGAAAACAATTACCAGGGCAAGGAATTGCATCACAACATCTCAGTTGGCGTCATCCTTTCTGATCAATCACTTGTCCTACAAAGTGTGGTACGTGCATCAGCAGGTGATTACACTTGCGTTGCTGTGAATTCAGAGGGAAAAGGCACGAGTAATCCTGTGACATTACGAGTTCGCTGTAAGTATCTAATTTTATTCATTCATTATTTCTTCTGTTATCCTTTCATAATATGTAATGAGTTGAGGGACTTTAATATTGTATTTGATGTGATGTAAAAAAAACTATATGGATTATACTATGTATATTTTGTAAAGTAAATGGGAGTAATAGGTTTTGGAATATTAATTAAGCATAGAAAAATCGTTCTAAATGATTTTTGACTTTTATGACTTTTTATGCAAATATGATCATCAGCGAAAAACTAGTCAAATATATATCATTTTGCGTTGATAATTATTTCACTAAAAGAAAACTGAAATTTATTATTCATATATATTCATATATAGAAAAACCATACATTTGTATTCCACTTATTTAAAATTGTTTACCATGATACTGTGAGGATACAATGTGAGATACCTGAACAAAAAAAACTCTACTTAAGATAATAAGAGTCAACAAAACTAAACTAAAACTAACTATTTAAAAGTAGATACTATGCAGGTAAACCCCATTCAAGTAAACACTATTCAATTAGAGACTATCTAAGTAGATATAACCCTTTTAGATACCATTCAAGTAGACACTATACAAGTTGACACTATTCAAGTAGATACCATTCAAGTAGATAACATTCAAGTAGATACTGTCTAAGTAGACATAACCCTAGTAGACAACTCAAGTAGACACAATCCAAATAGAGTTTATTCAAGTAAACATTATCCAACTTAACACTATTCGTGTAGACAATGTCTAATTTTACATAACCCATGTAGACACAATCCAAGTAGACACGACACTACTCAAGCAGACATAACCCATGCAGACACAAAATCAAGCAGACATTATTCAAGTAGGCACCATCCAAGTAAACACTATCCAAGTAGACACTATTTAAGTAGACACTTTCTAAGTAGACATAACCCGAGTAGACAACCCAAGCAAACACAATTCAAGTAGACACAATCCAAATAGACTGTATTCAAGTAGACACTATCTAAATTGACACTATTCAGGTAGACAATCTCTAATTTGATATAACCGATGTGGATACAACCCAAGTAGACACTACTCCAGTAGACACTGTCTAAGTAGACATAACCCGTGTAGACACAATCCAAGCAGGCAATATTCAAGTACCGCCATCCAAGTAAACACAGTCCAAATAGACACTATTCAAGTAGACGCTGTCTAAGTAGACATAATCCATGAAGACACAATGCAAATAGACACTATCCAATTTGTATCTATGGTAAATATTGAAACTTATGTTCCTTACTTTAGTCTTCAAATGATGGCCAGAATGTCTCTCATTGAATAATGTAAATTGTTGATTATAATTTATTACAGTATTGACTACTATTAGCTTTTTATTTCTATACATATGCATTTATAATATCAATATCAAAGGCTGTCAATTGATCAGAGTTACAACAGTGAAATAGGCCTTCAGTTCTCAGATGAAAATCAGAATGCCTCAGAGTCAGATGTATTCCAATATCAGTGGTATTCAATGAATATAATTTATGATTACGCAAAATGCCTTTAGGATTCAGAGCTAGGTCAGAATAACTTCGTTAATGTACAAGCTTATTTATTGCATTGGATGTTTATAAGTATTTATTTCAATATGTATATAACCCAATGTCAAAGGCATTTAATTTTTCTACTATTGCTTTTTAAACTATTTTATATTTTTATATTATTAAAATAAGTGTTTTAAGTGTAAATTATCTAGAAAAAAATTTTATATAAAAATGAAATTTAATCTTATTTTTTCTTTCTTGACATTTAAGTGCAGTTGTGCACCTTTTTTGTGAAATGTCGGATTACGAATTCGGACAGCAGAAAAATAAATTTGTTTTCCACTCCATTTTCGCAAAAACTTCTTAGCAGAGTAGTAACATTTGTTGATAGTTTGACAGACACTGGAAGGAATTATTGTTTGAAACAAAAAAGAATTAAAAATAAAAATAAAAGGATATTGAATAAAAAATTTTAAATAAATGTTATTAAAAAAAACTGATGTTAACTATTGAAAACTTTAAAATTTTTTAATTAGTTTCGAAAGCTGTTCATTAGTTGGTATTATTTTTGATGTTCATAGTGCTGCTTATCGGTCGGCAGCGACTCCTGCTCCTTGACTGCAATGTGCAACAATTTTTCACTTAATTACTTGAGAGTGTATTGTGTGCTTTGTAATTACTTTCTTCTTTCATTTCATTTTCACTGCTGTGCTGATGGAAAATTTTGCTGAGATATGCAATTAAGTCAGCAGTTGCACTTGCAATGCATTTCCAGTTGTTGTTGCTATTGCCATTGCAGTAGTGCAAGTAGTAAAATCTCCTTTATCATTCGGTTGTATAAATCAAAGAAATGTTAACTCTACACACTAACAAAGTTAACCAACCTGCATATTTCTGCAGACTATGTATGTACGTAAAAGCAACGAAATGATCCTAAGGTTGAATTGGTTGGCATTTCTATTTGTGCATTTCCACATTTTGACATTAACTTGGAGTGGCTCTTCGACTATGTAGGCAACTGCATTTGCAATTGCAGAAAATATTCGATAATTTGTTAGATAAACTTTTGCTTACGTCTTCACTTATCGAACAGTTGTTCAAAGGTTATATGTTGCTTGCCATATCAACACTCTTCAGTATTCATTTTCATGACCTAACTGCTACTTTGATCCTATACATACTTTCCTTATGCCAAGTTATATGAACAGCAGCTGCAGCTGAACTAGCAGCAAAAAGAAAAACAATAGTAGCAACAATACTAAATATCAGTTTGCACTTAAGTAACAATTCAATTATAAGAATCGTAAAAATTTTATCTGCTGCCTTGGTAGCAAGTAGAGCAGCACTTTTCATTCAACAGTGAAGCATTTCGAGTGGTGCTCATGTCGAATTATGCCTACACCCTGGTACAATAGCAAGTACAGGTCATTAATGAACAAATAACAGATTATGGATTTCAGTTTTTAATCATTTTTGAGTTTAGGTTTATAACGAGTAATGAAGTCTGATGTGCATGGAAGCTGAAGAAGATGAATACAGTTTCCAAGCATTTGTTAAAACTTTTCGTTCATTTTGTGAAGTAATGTAATGGAAAAATACAGTATAGAATATGATACTTAATCATGAATGAAATTAGGTTTGAATTGGAATAGAAATTTTGGTAATGCTTTAAACAGAACTGAAAGACTACAACACAAAAGTTTTGTAAGAACTTCCACAGGTTTAACAGACATAGGCATAACTGTTACTTTTGTATTCAAAAATTATAAAGAACGGAAAAGTACATAAAGAGCATACGGTATATTGAAATCACATATCACTACCGTCATAATCATTTTATTATGTCCCAAATATTAGTATTGTTTACGGTGAGAATACTGCGAGTGAACACTAGAACTGGGAGTGGTTTACTCGATTATATACCAGAAATTTCGATGTTAGAGATGCAATTCGCTCAGGTCAGCCAGTCACTAAATTAGCTGATGACATTTTACTACTGGTGAAACAAAAACAATACGCTAGCGGGCAAGAAATAAAGGGGAACATTAAACAACAACAACTTGACATGTTGTAATCAATTAACAAGAGCAGGCAATGCAAAGACGTACAATGTTAGGCTACCACATGAATTGACAGAAACAAATTAAATTACCATTATTGAAATGCTGCTAAAACGTAACCAAATCTAACCATTTTTACAATGAATCATTAGTAATGAAGAAAAATGGGTTAAATAGAGTAACATACATAAACAATATCAAAGCCTGGTTTGAAAGCAAGTTTGATAGGATTGTAAGGGAATTTAAGACTTAGTGCAGTCAGGTATAAAAATGGTTCTCGGTGCTCTGCTGCTCACAACTCGATCACTTATGTTAAGCGAAACAAACAAGGAAAATCTACTGGAACTAGTCAATAGAAAAGTAGTTGTGTTCTATTATAACAATGTCAGGTCGTATATATCTTTGGTGTCTGGAAAGAAATTAACGAAACATAGTTGGAACAGTTTTCTACATACAATGTATACCCTGCACCTTGCACTGTCAACTTACAATTTATTTTAGTCTCACCAAAACTTTCTTGATGATAACAAATTGTTCGTCTAAAGATCCCATTAAAATTACTTGGTGTGGTGTATCATAATAAGTTTAATGTAAAGAACAGTAAGAGGTTTAGATGTTAAGAAAGTTATGTTAAGAAAGTTAAGTGAAGAAAGTTAGGTTATGAAAGTTATGTTAAAAGGATTATGTTAAGAAAGCTGGGATAAGAAAGTTAGGTATGTGAAGAAAGTTAGGTTATGGAAGTTAAGGTTAGAACTTCAGTTTTAGCTCATATGAAGAATAAATCCACTTATAAGTGAAATGAAAAAGTAATAAACTATTGCAACAATTTTCTTACTATTTATTTTTATCGCAAATATCAATTTACAACATAAATAATAAATATGAAATAAAGTACCGAAAATCACTCCATATATAGACTCTTATGGCAAAAAGAAATGTAATAAAATTAAGAACAAATTATGGAATTACGACTAAATAAATATAATTATTAAAAAAATTAACCTGTCCTTCAAAATATAAAGAACATCTTCAAAAATTTAATCCCAAAAAGAAAAAATTTAAATTCAAAAGGAAAATACACTAATGCAACTACTAAGAAATTTTAATCTAATGAATATTTTTCAGGGACTTACGAGTTGGCAGCACTGCCAGCTGTGAACTCGTAAAAGTAGGCAGCAAAGACAACTGCATTTTCCCGTTTTGTTGCCTTTGTAAAAAACGGCACTTGGAACAGATTTTCCTGATACTTTTCTCTCTCTGTTATTCTTTGGCGAACTCCATTTTTGCATTCCTAAGTAGCATTTGGCGCACAAGAAGATGAAGCGAAAAAAATATGTTTCGTACCAAAAACACTGAAAATTGTTGAACCAAAATAAAATGAAGATGAGCGAATGAAGAAAGGACTAAAAATAGTTAAAGTAATAAAAATAGTAAGAGAAAAATAACTGTAGAAATGCATAATAAGTGGAAAAGTTTCTTAAGATTTTCATTTCAAGCTAAGATTTTACAATTTTTTCACAGCTTTGCATTGGATTTACTTGCATGCACAATGAAGCAACAAAAATAAATACAAAAATATAAAAATATAAATGTAAGAAATAAAACATATTAGTTTAAAATGAATACAAAGAAATGTGCTATAAAAAAAACATGAATAAACGCTTAGCTTTAGAATATGAATGGATGAGCGCAGAAAAGGATATGCGCGCAAGATTAAGTTTACTTTCATTTGAAAAATAATGCAAAAGCTATGATGAATGCAACTCAAGATGACAGACAACAAAACACTTTATAAGCTTTCATTACTCTTATTTGTTTATACTGCTATTTTAAAAATTAAACTGAAAATGTAAAAAAAACAAAACTACAGTAAGATTAATGTCGCAATGGTATTAACTTACTACTAGAATAAAGCATATTTTTTTTGAGGCATATTAATAAAGTAAATAGTGCGTAGCATTATAAGTAAGCCCTAAATAAGTAAGTAAAGTGACTAGATGGATAATGGAAGGAATTCACTTATATGTCGCAAGGACTTAAGCAACATAAAATAAATACATATAGTAAATTTAACAATTTCTTAAGTTACTCGTAACAATATTTTAAAATTAAATTCATTTTAATCAAATTTTATAAATAGATGTGCAGAATATTAATTACATAATGTTAATAACATGAACCCAACATTAGAATGTTAATATAACATACATAAGTTATAATCAAATAGTTGAAACTTTGTTTTATTATTTTGATAATTTTAAATTCAAATTTAATTTTTACTGCGTTTTATAAAGTTTATTTTTAATACAAAGATTTAAGTAAAAAATTGTTTTTTTTGTTGGCTTTGTGCTCTTCTGTCAAGGCTTCAACATTCATTGAAAGTTCAGCAAGCTGATAACAAGTTGAGGGAAGTGTAATAATGTGGAATATTCTAGTGTTGTATCGTGATATGAGACTAACTCATATGGTGTGTAGAAAATTGAAACAGCCACTCCCTTGTCACATCAACGTGATAAAATTACAAATAAACTCAAAGACAGATATTTAAATATATCGGAAACACTAAAGTGGACAATACAAATTGATAACGTTATTCTAAATACATATACTCTTATTATATAGCTAGCAGAAGTAAACCGGTTATAAATTTTTGATGAATTGTTTCTTTAAAAATTACAGTACCAAGATTTTCAAAGCAAGCTAATGGTATGGAAAACGTTCCCAAACATTAAAAACAACATACGTGGCGCGCGATTTCCTATGCCTAAACAGACCGTTTAAACATTCAAAACCATGGTTCTGGAGACACCATCTTTAGAGTAGCAAAAATGGTTCGAAAATTAGTTCAATCGAATGCTACTCTTAAAATATACTGATGATCATTTTCATTTTCACTAATTAACCACTGTATTTTTGTTGTTAGGCACAAGAGTATATCTTACATTTGTAATATCTTATAGAGTATACTTAATGTAATACAGTAAAGTTTGATATTGTTAATGAGAATACAAGACCTACAGTTTTAAATTGCTTTATTAATATGCCTGCGAGCAAATTCTTTTTAAAAAATATACGAGTACATAGAAAATATGGTAAAAACATCCATTTTATATGTTGTAGCACTCAATAGACCAAGAAAACTGTGAAGTATAATTCTGAGAACAAATAGTATGTCGTGCTTTGAGATGTTATATATTTAAATGGTTAATGTCAATCTGCAAAAAAAATATATATAATTTAAATACCTAACATAAAAAAACAACATATTGTTTACACTAAAAGAAGAAATATTCTAAATATTCTGAAATTTTATTATAATTACTTTGAGAACCAAACCATAATTATTTTTGTTCAAAATTATTTAAAAATCATTAAGACAAAAAAGATACAATGACTCTTTACATATTTTATGTACTTCTTTCTACACAGTTTCCTCATCATAATGTATTCTAAATTTTTCATTACAAACAAAGATTTAAAGCTTCATTAAAAACTTAGTGACTAGTTAATTACTTCAACTAAATCAGCAGGTAAAAAATTTTAAGTAAAACGTACATCTGCAGCCGACATAAAGATTGTGAAGAGATAAAACCCAAAAAAATCGAAATAAAAAAAATTTGAAAAGAATATTCATTAACTCTACAGTATCTAGTATCTAGTACCTAAAAAGTTCTGACAAAAAACTACAAACAAACCGTAAATAAACCACAAAAATAATGCCAGTTAAGCGCATTAAACTCATTAAAAATTGCAACAGGAACAAAACGAAATTATGTTTCTATGCCAGTGAATTTTCACAAAACAAAATAATTTTCTTTCATTTTTCCACTCTAATTTTTTATAATTCATTAACATTTATTTTTCTTTATCCTTTTTTCTTACAGATGCACCCATTTGTGCCACCGATCATGAGGAGCTGTTGGGCGCCCTCAAGCACGAAACGCTGGCATTAAAATGTGAAGTGGATGCATCACCGCCTGCGGATTCATTTCATTGGACATTTAACTCATCTGGCGAACAAACAGAATTGCCTGCACGATTGCACTCGAGTGAAGTAAGTACCACTAGTCCACTTAATGAACAAAACCGTCCATCCGCACTCGCTGCTTGTTGCCATATCCGTACTCGACTGCAACTACTATTTGTAACTAGTAACACGTCTCGCTTTAATTTTGGGGGATAAAGAAATAATTAAAATAAAAAAAAATTATATTTTTAATTCCGTTAAACCTTTTTTATATATTTTGACTGTTACGTTTTTACTAAATTTCATTTCTCATGTATTCGTTATCCTTTTTCTTAAATAATTTTTTTTTTTTTGTATTATTTCGACATTTACATTTTTCCTTCTTTTTTTTGCATTTTTGTTACCAGTAAATTTATTCGTTTCTCTTTGCTTACATTTACTAATGAATAAATCGCGTGTAGCTTGGCTTGTTTAATTATTGGTCTATTTTGTGTTTGATTCTCTTGGCCCAGGAAACGGAACTGTCTTGTTTACTTACGCGAAACGAACATATTTCGAAGGTTGAATTTGTGGTCATTTTATGGACTTAACTAATGAGTTTCGTTACTAGTGATTGAAAATGTTTCGCTGTGTATAAAAAATTAAAAGCGAAATGAAAAAAGTTACTGAAATTATATAATTAGTTTTAGTGGTGCAGAGCTTTCATTAATTAAATAGATATAAATTTTTTTAAAATCAATTTTCTATCATTTTAAAATTCTCTGTTTCTTCCTGTTGTTTCTTCTCTGTTATATATGACTAAAATACAAAAGTTCTACTCATGTCCTATGCCTGTGAGCCATAGGGTGCAAGGAAGGCTTAAGTAAAATTGGGTCAACTATGTAGTGAATTTTAGTTATTTCAACTATAAGCTTATTTATGAATTTTTAATTAATCACAATACTTATAAAGAAACATTCAATGAAACATAAAAGATTGAAACTCAGACATATGGACTATATCCCATAGTCCTCATTAAGGAATTAATACAACGCAAATTAAAAATGTTGAGCGAAAAACCTATTACGTGATACTTAATAAATATATTGACACGTATTTAATATTGACTTACATATATTCTCCTCCTAATTTGCAGATATTATTGTACAGAAGACTACACCCTTATATATGAGTGTTCTAATTGATCTTCGCATGAGTTGACATTTGAAAAATTGTACTCATTTCCAAAAAAAAAATTTTCATATTGGTTATTTATTTAGTGTGATAGCTTCAAGTGCTAGAATGTTAGTGAGAACTCTACATGAACGAACAGTTGGCTCGGAAGCGATGCTGCCAAACCTAAAAGTATGCAATAGTCGGTTGTTAGTTGAAAACGGTGGATAAAATAATCTCACCTTTTATTTTACAAAGTAATTATTTTTGCTTATGTAGGCTTTGGTGTTCAAGTCCCACACTCCAACGCTATCTACCAGATGTATGAATTTTTCCGTTTTTTGTTTTGGTAAAGAAATCATATTTCTTTCAAGAGAAAGTAATTTTTATCATTTCAAAATATTAGCCATTGGTGTGTACACATTTTACACATATTTCCGGAAATTTACGAATACCGTACCAGAAAAAGTACATGTAGAGCAGCCAAGCCATTCGTTGAACCCATTTTCCAGCTTCCTCAAAATTACTAAAGTACAGCTCTTCGTGAGCACGCCCCATTGATGCGAAGACATGTTACTCAGATGCCGCCAGGTCAGTGTCCCCTCCAAGTGTCCTCTCAAAATGTCTTTCATTACGTTTATAGTGTGAGACTGCACATTTACGTCTAGCAAAATCACTTTGGCATGTCTTTTGGCCCATTCCGATCGTCTTTCGAACAATGGGTGAATTTAATCAATCATATGTTGGCAATATCGAAATTCATTAATGGTTTGTCTGTGCATCAAGAGATCATAATACACAATATAATTTTGTTGCACCAAACACAAAGCATAATATTTTTACCAACGCTATTCGGCTTTAGCGTTTATGGACTGGTTTCACCATGTGCAAGCTTTGATTTATCCCACTTCGCGTTTAAAATATAAAACCAATTTTCATCACCCATCTCAATTCAATACAAAAATGATTTCACATCGGAGTAAAGGAGTATTTCAGAAGTGACTTTGTAATTGATTCAAACCGTCTGGGACCAATGTATCTAATTAATTGAATTTTTCGATTGTTCATAAACGTCTGCTGATTGTCTCTTGTGACACTCTTAATACTTTGGTCAATAGCTATTAAGTTTGAGTTGGATCATCATCAAATAACTCCTGTAGTTGCTTATTATCTTACTAAGGCACTAATTGATTTTTATATAGAAATCACCACATGAAATCGTCGAAACTATATCTCAAATGTTGTAATCGATGGAACGTGTGCGCCATATATCTCTACCAGCACATACTGCCATCCAACTATATTTTGATTAAATAAGAAAAGCAACGCTTGCCACAAACATGCTCTTTCAGTCACAACATTCGACTTCATCAGTGATCGTTAAAACAAACACGCTAGTTTTTGGCAGACTCAACTTGTGTGCACTTGAATTTTAATGTCAGATGAACAAAATAACGTACATGTCAGTCAAATGTCTGTCCATTAAATAACAATATGCGTATTATGTGCTAGCATGGTCTGTTGATTAAACCGGAAAACACATCCATATAGCTGGTAATTTTCATCTCCTGGGCGATCCATACATAAAAGTATGCAAAGCTTGATTTATTTAGTATGACTGTTAATTTTTCACTCTTAATTATTTTATTTTGTATTTATATAATGAACTCGAATCCATTACCGTTTCGTCGTACAAACCAAAAATAACATTAAATAAAAACCAAATTAAAATAAATACATAACATTTCAATTATTTTTAACTATTTATTTATAGATGCAAAATATATTTAGGACACAGAAAAAAATTCCAAATCATATCTTCCAATTAACTCC